CTCTGTTGCATACTGTAAAGGTGCAGACCAGAACAAGAACCGACCTCTCTAACAAAGTACAAGATAGCGCAGCGGAAAACTTAGATACCAATGATCCGAACAATCAATATTGCAATGCAGCCCAGAACATACATCATCATCATCACTCCATGATGTGAAGGGGTTTGGCGCTCACACAGGAAGATTGCGCCAGCCCCAACCATGCACAGACGAGGGGGGTTAGACGAAGAAGAGGGGAAGATGGGAATGTCGTCAACACCAAGTCTTCGGCACAGGCCCAAATAGTCCCTCGTCAAAATGTATGAATCCCAATGTCGAGTCTGGATCCAATGTCGTCAAGTCTCAAGTCACAACTCTCTCTCCCTGTCGTAGTCCGCTGATACTGAGAAGTTAGGTGGTGAGAGGGTGAAGAAGAGATGGTGGACTTAGAAGAGGAAGACGAAGAACTCTCTCTCTCTCTCTGTGTCGAGTACTAACCTGTGAAGTTGCAGCCTTGATGCAGGTACCTCGAAGATGGAGCTGGAGCTATGGCGCCACAGGTAAGTACCGCTGGCCTCCGCCAGCCATCTCTCTCCAACGCTACCACTACCAGCTACTAGCGCCCTGCGCTGAAGACTACTCCTGCAGCTATGAGCGCCCAGCGCTGAAGACTACTGCTAGCGCTAACTACTACTGCCAGCGCTCCTCCTGAGTGTTGTGGCTGAATCCTGAAGACTACTCGTGCCTACTGTCCAACTACCTACCCGTGTAGTGCATGGGAACTTCCTATGTACTACTCGGCCTGCCTCCTGACTGCAGGGCAAGGCAGTCCAGGAGGATGCTCTTGCCAATGCCGCAGGGAGTCAGGGGCTGCCGCTGCAGCTCCTGCTTGAGGCTGTCGTGGGAACAGGCTAAAGATAGCCTGTTCTCGAAACCCTGGTTTTGTGCCTGAGTATTAGGGTAGGTCAATCTTATGAGGGCCCGAAAGTGGCCCTCCGTTTCAGGCTGAAAAGCCTCAGGGCTGAAACGACATGGGGCCTGTAAGCCGTATTTTCTAGGCTTTTAGGCTGAGAATGCGGAACGGGCCCTGCAGGCCCGTGTGGCTACGCAGTATGCCACACCCCCCCCTCCTTGAAAGACCGAGCTTACCTGCGAGGGCGAAGCTGTCTGTCTGAGGGAGGGACCACAGTTCGGGTGGGAGGGGCAGGTCGTGAAGGTCCCTGAGCTAACCTTTGTCGCTCGTAGTGAGCGTAGATCAGCGGTGCGGATGCTTTCAAATCTATTCCTGAAATCCACCGAGTGTCGTCGGGATCGCATGCTCTGAATGTAACTTTGTATTGTCGAGGCTTGTTGTCGTACTTGCGATCCATGATGACGCGGTCAACCTCCTGATGACCATCCATAGATGGAGGGTCCTGCGATCGTCGGCCTGGGAAGTCGTCGCTCTTAGCTGGTGTATATGTTGCCAGCTTCGAGGCGTGAAAGACTGGATGGAGCGTCAGATGCGTCGGGATGTTGATCACCAATGAAGGGCCATCGGGCTCATCGCCCGCGGCTGATGTTACGGGCCATGGTCCAAACCACTTGGGAAGCAGTTTGCGTGAAACATCCTGTTCCAGTGCAAACTCTTCCGCGGAGACCCAAACCAGATCACCGGCGCGGATGGGACATGGCACGCGACGCCTGTTGGCTTGCTACTGCATGCGGACTTGAGCCGTTTGCATGTTCGCCTTGAGCCAGCAATTCCCTGTACTTTCGGACGGAAGCGGGAGATCAAGCGGCGTCGATGTCGGCTGGTCGTGGGAGGAGAAGGTCGGCGAAGATACGGCCCTTCCGTCCACCGTGGTACAACTCGAATGGAGTCACGCCGATCGCCGGGTGCACCGAAGTGTTGTAGGCGAACTCGATGTCGGGGAGGCGGTCAACCCAATCTTTCTGGTCCGGACGGATGAGCGTACGAAGTATCATTTGAGCGGTTTGATGTGCCCGCTCCATTTCCCCGTCCGTCTGTGGATGCCGAGCCGAACTTGGTTTCATCTTCGTGTCGGACTCCTGCATGAGAGCAGTCCAAAATGCCGACATGAAGCGAGTGTCGCGGTCGTTGACTATGTCTTCCGGTACACCGTCGCCACAAATCCAACCGGTGTGCAAGAGACGTGCCAACTCGGGAGCCGTGGAGTAGTACTTGCAAGGGAGAAAATGCGCATACTTACTCAAACGGTCCACAACCATGAGGATGCCGTCGTGCCCGAGGCAATCGTGAGGAAATGGTCCGGTGACATCCATGGCAATGGAGAGGCCGGGTTCCCGTGGGATAGGCATCGGGCGCAACTCGCCGTAGGGGTTGCGATTGCGGGGC